TCTTGGATTTATGGCTGTCTCTGGAGCTGAGAGCCTGCTTTAGCTGTGAGACCTCGCTGCTGAAAGCAGGTTTCTGGCTTTGTTTACTTTCTGTATTTGAAACTTTGTTGCGACTCCAGCTCTGAGATCCTGGCTGACTGAAAACAGGTTTCTGGGGTTTTGTTTAGCTTCTATATTTGTAACAATGTTTCTTAGCAGCTCAGAGCCCAGCAGTGGCAGGCGGGGAACGTTGGAGTCCTCAGTCACTGAAGCAAGCAAGCCTCCTGTTCATGTCAGTAGCCTGGCTGCCGGCCACCATCTTGGCTGGCAGTTAATTTGCATATCGTCCTGATTAGCCAATGGGAAGGGTAGCAGATGTACAGCTAATTACCATGTTTCTCTTTTATAAGATAGGATTTGGAAAAATACTATTTCAATCCATTGTCCATTTTTAAATTGGTTATTTGTCTTTTTATTGTTGAGTTATAATAGTTCTTTATATATTCTGGATACTAGTTCCCTATCAGATATGTAATTTGTAAATATTTTCTCCCATTTTGTAGGCTGTCTTTTCACTTTCTTGTTGGTTTCTTTTTTAATTTTTTAAATATCTATTTGTATTGATTTCAGAGAGGAAGGGAGAGGGAGAGATAGAAACATCAATGATGAGGTGAATCATTGATTGGCTGCCTCCTGCACACCCCACACTGGGGATGGAGCCCGCAATCCAGGCATGTGCCCTTGACCAGAATCAAACCTGGGACCTTTTCTGCAGGCTGACACTCTATCCACTGAGCCAAACCAGCTAGAGCTCTTGTTGGTTTCTTTTGAAGCACAAAAGTTTTTTATTTTGATGAAGTTTAATTAATCTATTTTTTCTTGTGCTTTTTAAATGTAATACGTAAGAAACCATTGCTTAACCAAGGTCACAAAGATCTATGTTCTGTTTTCTAAGAGTTTTAGCTCTTATTTTAGGTTTTTGATCCATTTTGAATTAATTTTTGTATATGGTATGAGGTGGTATGAGGTAAAGGTCCAACCTCATTCATTGCATGTGGCAAACAATTGTCTCAGTGCCATTTATTGATAAATCCTACTGAATTTTCTTGGCACCCTTGTCACAATCAATTGACGATAAATGTATGGGTTTATATCTGGGCTTTAAATTCTGTTCTATAGACATAAATGTTTATACTTTTGCCAGTACCACACAGTCTTGATTACTACTTTTTTAGTATGCTTAGAATTCAGAAAATGTGAGTCCTTCAACTTTGTTCTTTTTCAAGATTGTTTTGGCTCTTCTGGGTCCCATGCATTTTCATATGAATTTTAGAATTAACTTAGTTTCTTCCAAAAAGAAAAGCAGCTGGAATTTTGTTAAGGACTGTGTAGAATCTGTAGGTCAATTTAGGGAATATTTCTTTCTAACACAATTAAGTGCCACAGTCTATGAACTCAGGATCTTTCATTTACCAATACTTTAGTTTCTTTCAATGACTTTTTTTTTAGTTTCCGTGAACAAGTTTTGCATTTCTTTTGTTAAATTTATTTCTAAGAATTTTATTCTTTTTTGATGTTATTATACATGGGATTTCAGATCGTAATTACTAGTATAATGAAACAGTTAATTTTGTATCTTGATCTTATATTCTGTCACCTTAATGAACTCACTCATTTGCTCTAATAGTTTTTTCTGTGTGTGGATTCCTTAGGATTTTCTATGTACAAGACCAAGTCATCTTGAATAGAGATAGATTTAATTCTTCCTTTCTAATCTGGGTGCATTCTATTTCTGTTTCTTTCATAATTTCCCTGTATACCCTTCAGTACAAGGTTAAATAGAAGTAGTAAACATTCTTATCTTTTTCCTGATCTTAGGGAAAAATCATTCAGTTCTTCACCATTAAGTATTATCCTAGCTGTAGATTTTTAGTAGATTCCCTTTTTCAGGTTGAAAAACTTGCATTCTATTCCAAATTTGTTGAATATGGGTTTTTTTGTGTGTGTCTATGTAAGGGTGTTGAATTCTGACAAATGCTTTTTCTGCATCTATTGAGATGATCATGTGGCCTTGTCTTTTCCTCTGTTAATATGCCATTTTTCACTGACAGATTTTTCACATGTTGAACCCACCTTGCATTCCTGGGATAAATCCCACTTGGTCATGGTATGATTTATATGTTGCTGGATTCAATTTGCTAGTATTTGTTGAGGATTTTTGCATCTATTTATAAGTAGTAATGGTCTACAGTTTTCTTATGATATTCTTGTCTATTTTTTGGTAAAAGGTATTTTTGTGTTTTTAATTCAAGATATTTTTGTAGTATTTCTTCTGGACTGGCCTTCATAGCCATACCAAAAAAAAAAAAAAATCACTCATCTTTTATAGTTGCATTTCACTTTTACTATTATGTTTAGTCACTAAAAATGATATTACAGTTTTATTATCTACAATAATCACCATACTTGATTTCAAACATCTCTTAGCAATTTCTTGACACCATTAGAAACACTAAAACCACAATAGTAACAATAAAGTGCATGAGCAATGCTGGGCATTGTTCTAAGCACTTTACAACCATTATTTCACTTCATCTTCCCAAAGCTAAGATAAAGAACTACTATTATGCTTGTTTCATAAATGAGGAAAGTGAGGTCAAAAAAGGTAAACTAACATGTCCAAGTCCCTCAGCTAGTCACAGGCTGAGCCAGGATTCAAATCCCAGCATTGGATTCCTGAGTTCATGCTCTTAACCACTATGTTTTAGCATCAAGAGTTTTTAAATTATGTATTTTAAATATTTAAGAAATTTCAGGAGAAGTAATCAAAGTTATACTTGGAAATGTCAGATTGACTTGGAGAAAGCATGTGGATCCAAAACATCCACTTATGAGAAAATCTGATACTTTTTCTCAAAATATTGATCATATTGTCTCATATGGCAATGAAGACCTTTGATAATAAATGGTCTTGTCCAGTATTTTTACTCTCTTATAAGTCCTGCATGGTTTATAGAAAAAGACCATCTAAATTCCATTTTAAACATTTTTATTTTCAAAGAAAATTGTCAGCAGTCCTCCTAAAGATACCTCAACAGTAAGATTTTAAATACCTTGCCTTTTCAGAAATACTGCAAAGTTGGTGAGCTGATTCTCCCTGCTTTCAGGACTTACTAGGAAACCAAAGATTTAACTTGCATTCCTTCCCTGCTGTGCATTGAAGGCACACACTGCACACAGCAAACATAAAAATATGTCTTATAAATTATAAACATATTAAATGAGACACTCTATCAAGTCTCAGTCAACAACTTTTCTGCATCTACTATGTGTGAGATGCCACATGGGATGCAAGGTAGCAAAATGTAGATGGCAAATTCTGCACTCAGACAGCCTCGATTTGAGTTAAGCTCCACCATGTACTCATTGTCATCTTGGGCAAGTTCCTTTAACTCTTAAGCCTCAGTTTTCTCATCTGTAAAGTGAGGATAATAATAACATAGTTACATGTACATGAAATTAAATTATATACATAAAATACTTTTCTCAGTGCCTAGCACATGATAAACACTCAGTAATTATTATTAGAAAACTAGAGTCCCAGTGCACAAAAATCTGTGCACTCAGGGGGGTCCCTCAGCCCGGCCTGTGCCTTCTCGCAATCTGGGAACCCTCGGGGGATGTCCACCTGCTGGCTTAGACCTGATCCCCAGGGGATCGGGCCTAAGCTAGCAGTCAGACATCCCTCTGGCAGCCCCGGAGCCCTCGGGGGATGTCCACTTGCCAGTGGGGAGCAGGCCTAAGCTGCAGTCGGACATCCTTAGCACTGCTGAGGAGGTGGGAGAGGCTCCCGCCACCACCGCTGTGCTGGCAACCATGAGCCTGGCTTGTGGCTGAGCAGAGCTCCCCCTGTGGGAGCGCACTGACAACCAGGGGGCATCTCCTGCACTGAGCGTCTGCCCCCTGGTGGTCAGTGTGTGTCATAGTGACCAGTCATTCCCAGTTGTTCTGCTGTTAGGGTCAATTTGCATATTACCCTTTTATTATATAGGATAGAGGCCTGGTGCACAGGTGGGGGTGGCTGGTTTGCTCTTAAGGGTGTCCCAGATCAGGGTGGGGGTCTGGTGCCTGGCCAGCCTGGGTGAGGGTGAGGGGCTGAGGGCTGTTTTCAGGCTGCCCACAGCCCCTTCAGGGTGGGGGAGTCCCGCTGGGGTGCTTGGCCAGCTTGGGTGAGGGGCGGATGGCCATTTTCAGGCTGGCCATGCCCCCTGGCGACCCAAGCTCCCAGCCTCTCCTTTTTTTCTTTTTTTTTTTTTCTGGGGTTTATTTATCTTCTATAATTGAAACTTTGTAGCCTTGAGCACCGCCCAGGGCCGGCCAGGGCAGGCCAGAAACTTGGCTTCCTCCATTGCCAGGGGCAACCCAAGCCTCCTGCTCTCTTCAACTCTGTGGCCACCGCCATCTTAGTTGGGTTAATTTGCATACTTGCTCCTGATTGGCTTGTGGGTGTGGCTTGAGCATAGTGGAGGGATGATTAATTTGCATGTTTCTCTTTTATTATATAGGATAAAAAATTCAGAGGGATAGCCTCTCTTCTCAAGTAGCTTATGATGTCATAAATAACAGTAATAGGAAGCAAAATGTTCTATACATCAAAAGAGTAGAATAAACAAAATGTAAATGAGGCTTTAATAACCAAAGGTCACCAAACAGCTGGAGAGTCAGGGATAACAATTGAATTGGGCTTAGAGGAGAGTGTAGTAATTCAAAGGCTGTCAAGGAAGATGAAGGACATCTGGAAAGAACAGCAGATGCAAATGCACAGAGGTGGGAGAGAGTCCTGTGTGACTGGATTATTCAGTGAGTAGGGTTTATGGGAAGGAGCAATAAAGGATATAGCCAGAAATGAGCCTGGAGAACCCTGACATCCAAGTTGGGGGTTTGGAGGTTATATGGTGTATATAAACATACATCAAATGAGAATTTTAAATAAAAATTGATGCTTTGTTTTTGTTTTTTAGATTTAGGGTCCAAAATCATGTCAACTTAAAAAATACTTTCATTTTTTAGGGAGTCACCGCTCTTTTTGATCCACTCAAAGCTAACTTGAAAGGAATTTCAGGTAACAACAGTTCTTTCAAGATTTTTGACATTGTGTTTGTAGGAAGTTTATCATATTTTGATTAAGGGATTCATATTATTTCTACAGAGCCCTCAGTGGTAATCAACCAGAGTTAATGTTATTTAAAAGAGTAAAGAAAGTGCTTTGCATTACATAAGTCTTGCTTCTTATAACAGTCAAATTTGGGTTAGAATTTATGGAGGATGGGTGTTTCTTGAGCCCTCTAGGTACTGTTGTCACCTTCTGAGTAAGATCAATGACCATGGGACACAGTACAACTCAACCTTCCTCTGCCCATCATGACTAGGAGATGCCAGAAACACTTGTGCAATAACACAGCTCTTCATTCTGACCTCCCACTGTCATGCCAGCCTCACAATCACCTTTTGTTTCTCCCTCCCTTCTTGTACCTATTCTGTCCTCTTCTAATGAACTAACCTGAAACTTTCCCTTATCCATCCAACTTCCTTTCTTCAAATTATGCCTGCACCTGTAACCTTGCCCTAAAATTAACTCCTTCTCAGAGTCCATATTAGATTTCTTTGTCCATAGCAGACATGCTACTACTAATCAAGAGGAGCTGTGTTTGCTTATGTTCTGACAGAGGACTTACATGAAATATTAAAGAGAGTGGAACGCCAGAGCCTTATGTCCCAGAATCCTCTTGGGATACCGTTAGCTAGACTATTGGTAACTCCAAAGGCCCATGTTCATTTCTGCTCTAGATAGTAGTAAATTATCTATACAAAGATGACACTATAGCAGGCATTTTCATTGGCCTTATTTTTTTTTTTTTTTGCCTGATAAGGCTGAGAGTCTCTATTTTGAATGCTAGAACCTTATAGCACATAGAAATTTTCTAATTCCTTGTTCAGAATCTTCCTCTGAAGCAATCACAGAAAATATGGGAGTTTGGTCTATAAGAGAAGTCTTGGGCTGTAGATGTGTCTAGACTGACTAACTGGCAGAGTTACTTACCAAATATAACACAGGAGGAAGAATCTATTCCAAAGTTTTTAAGGTCCACCAACTCTATATTTATTTCCTAAACTTGCAAAGAGATGAAGTAAAGCAATAGTCAAGTGTACCAGTATGGATGCAGTGCCTCTGACAATGGTTGGCACACAGTGGATGCCCAATAAATATTGATTTAGTTGAATGATCAAACCAGAAATTTTCCCTGGTGACACAGGTATAATCTGACACTGTAGAGAAAACTAGAGGGCAAGGAAAGAGGAAGGGATGAAGAACTTGAGTGCATTCTATCTTTGGTGCACTCTATGGTGCAAAATCCAATCAATGTGTCTTCTTGTAAACCTGGAGCTTGGCATGGCATCCCTGTTGTTGATGGCAATGACATTTTTCTTTAGATTATTGTAGTTCACTCTTGGGAGCTACTCTTGACTTTTTCTTCCACACCACTACATGCAATTAATCACTATGATTTCCTGCTTATTCCTTAATAGTTCTTTCGTTTTTATTGTTTAAAGTATTACATGTCTCCTTTTTTCCTGATTAACCCCCCTCCCCGGCCACACCTACCCCTGAGGGCAAGCCCCACCTCCCGTGTCTGTGTCCACTGGTCATGCTAATATGCATGCATACAAGTCCTTTGGCTGATCTCTAACCAGCCTCCTTCCCTGCCTTCTCCCCGAGGTTGGGCGGTCTGCTCAGTGCCACCTTGTCTCTGGATCAATTTTTGTTCATCAGTATATGTTGATCATTATATCCCATATATGAGTGAGATCATGTGATCTGGCTTATTTCACTTAGCATAATGCTCTCCAGTTCCATCCATGCTGTTGCAAATGGTAAAAGTTCCTTCTTTTTTATAGCAGCACAGTATTCCATTGTGTAGCTGTGCCACAGCTTTTTAATCCATTCATCTGCTGATGGGCACTTAGACTGTTTCCAAATCTTAGCTATTGTAAATTGTGCTGCTATGAACATAGGGGTGCATATGTCCTTTCTGATTGGTGTTTCTGGTTTCTTGGGATATATTCCTAAAGGTGGGATTACTGGGTCAATTGGGAGTTCCATTTTTAACTTTTTGAGGAAACTCCATACTGTTCTCAACAGTGGCTGCACCAGTCTGCATTCCCACCAGCAGTGCACGAGGGTTCCTTTTTCTCCACATCCTTGACAGCACTTGTCATTTGTTGATGATAGCCATTCTGAAGGTGTGAGATACCTCATTGCTGTTTTGATTTGCATCTCTCAGATGATTAGTGACTTTGAGCATGTTTTCATATGTCTCTTGGCCTTCTGTACATCTTCTTTTGAAAAGTGTCTATTTAGGTCCTTTGCCCATTTTTTGATTGGATTGTTTATCTTCCTTTTGTTAAGTTGTATGAGTCCCCTATAAATTTTGGAGATTAAACCCTTATCTGAAATAGCATTGGCAAATATATTCTCCCATGCAGTGGGCTTTCTTGTTGTTTTATGGATGGTTTCCTTTGCTGTGCAGAAGCTTTTTATTTTGATGTAGTCCCATTTGTTTATTTTCTCCGTAGTTTCCATTGCCCTAGGAGCTTTATCAGTAAAGATATTGCTATGACATATGTCTGATATTGAAGCTGTCCCAGAGGCTCCTTACACTATCTTCATATTTTTGGATTCTTTTTTCATTTTGCTTTTCCAGTTGGGTGTTTTTTGCTTCTTCATATTTCAAATCTTTGACTTGATTCTTGCGATCCTCTAGTCTGCTGTTGGGAGTCTGTATAATATTCTTTATTTCAGTCAGTGTATGCTTAATTTCTAGTTGGTCCTTTATCACAACCTCGAGGGTCTCATTAGATTTCTTGAGGGTCTCATTAAGTTTGTCGGCGGTTTCTAGAAAATTCTTGAAAAACCTTAAAAGTGTGGTTTTGAACTCTATATCCAGTAGTTTGCTTTCCTCCATATCTGTCATTTGTGTCCTGTTTCTTTGTCTCCGCATTTTTTTATGCTTCGCTGTGTCGATAGAGTGGCTTTCTGTGCTAGGTGTCCTATAGGGCCCGGTGGCTCAGCCTCCCCAATTACCTGAGGTAGACACTCTTGGTGCACCCCCTTGTGGGCTTTGTGCACAGTCTTGTTGTAGTTAAGCCTTGATTGTTGTAGGTAATACTGGGAGGGATTGACCTCCAGGCCAATTGGCTGTGAGTATCAGCTGTGTCTGCAGTCGGAGAACCGCTGTGCTGGAGACACCCCTCCGAGGCAAAACTTGCTTCAATGGGGCTTTGGTGCTCACTGAGTCTGCCCCCTGAGTGTGTCCTTTTATGGATCGGAGGAGCTGCAATCTGGATGGTCCCACTCTGACCACCGGGCACGCTCAGTATGGACATTTTAATGATGTTGATTCTACCAACCCATGAACACAGTATGTTCTTCCATTTATTTATGTCTTCCTCTATTACTTTTTTCATGTCCTGTAGTTTTCCCAGTACAGGTCTTTTACCTCCTTAGTTAAGTTTTTTCCTAGGTATCTTAATTTTTTTAGTGCAATGGTAAATGGGATTTTTTTTTTTAGTTTCTCTCACTGTGAGTTCATTGTTGTTGTATAAAAAAGCCATAAATTTCTGGGTGTTAATTCTGTATCCTGCTACATTGCCGAATTCATTTATTAAGTCTAGTAGTTTTTGATGGAGTCTTTGGGATTATCTATGTACAGTAGCATGTCATCTTGGAATAATGACAGTTTTACCTCTTCTTCTCCAATTTGGATGCCTTTTATTTCCTCTTCTTGTCTGATCCCCAAGGCTAGCACTTCCAGTACTATGTCGAACAGGAGTGGTGAAAGTGGGCATACCTGTCTTGTTCCTGTTCTTAGGGGAAATGAATTTAGTTTTTACCCATTGAGTATGATGTTGGCTGTAGGTTTGTAATATAAGGCTTTTATTATGTTAAGGTATGATTCTTCTATTCCCACTTTGCTGAGAGTTTTTTATCAAGAAAGAGTCTTGGATTTTGTCAAATGCTTTTTATGTATCAGTTGATATGATTATGTGATTTTTGTCTCTCAATTTGTTTACTAGTATGTGATGTATCACACTTATTGATTTGCGGATATTTATACCATCCAGGAATAAATCCCACTTGGTCCTGGTGTATGATCTTTCTAATGTAATGCTGGATCAAATTTGCTAGAATTTTATTGAGGATGTTAGCGTCTATGTTCATCAAGGATATTAGCCTGTAGATCTCTTTCTTTGTGGTGTCATTATCTGGTTTTGGACTTAGGGTAGTGCTGGCTTCACAGAAAGAGCTTGGGCCCTAACCAGTTTGGCTCTGTGGTTAGAGCATCAGCCTGCGAACTGAAGGGTCCCAGATTCGATTCTGGCCAAGGGCATGTACCTTGGTTGCGGGCATATCCCCAGTAGGGGGTGGGCAGGAGGCAGCTGATTGATGTTTCTCTTCCATCGATGTTTCTAGCTCTCTATCCCTCTCTCTTCCTCTCTGTAAAAAATCAATAAAATATATATATTTTTAAAAAGAGCTTGGAAGTGTGCCTTCCTCTTGAATTTTTTGGAATAGTCTGAGGAGGATAGGTTTTAGTTCTTCTTTGAATGCTTGGTAGAACTCTCTTGTGAAGTCATCCTGATGAGCTCTTTTGTTTGCTGGAAGATTTTTGATTACTGCTTCAATTTCTTCAGTAGTTATCGGCCTATTGAGACTTTTTCATTTTCCTGATTGAGTTTTGGGAGCTTTTATTTTTCTAATAACAGGTCCATTTCATCTAGGTTGTCCAGTTTGCTGGAATAGAGTTGTTCATAGTATTTTTTTCATAATCCTTTGTATTTCTGTGGGGTCAGTTGTTACTTCACCTCTTTCACATCTGATTTTGTTATTTGGATCCTCTCTATTTGCTTCTTGGTGAGCCAAGTTAGAGGTTCATCAATCTTGTTTATCCATTCAAAGAACCAGCTCTTGGTTTCATTGATCTTTTGTATTGTTTTTGTTTTGTTTTTTTTTTGTCTCTATGTCATTTATTTCCACTCTGATCTTTATTATTTCCTTCCTTC